ACCGGCCCAAGAAGCCTGGCCCTGGTGTGAGCGGAGACGAGAAGGGCTCCCACGGTGTGGCTGTTTCACCTCGGCCCCCGGCCACACCAGCAACCACGCCTGCGAACAGTGAGAGTGGGGTCAAAAGGGCAGTCAGCGGGCGGCGCCCTGCCGGCCCCATGATTCAGGGAAGCACACATGGGGGCTGGGCGGTCCAGGCAACCTGGGCACAGGGTCCCGCCAGGTCCAAGGAGCCCGCCCTGTGTAGTTTCAGGAGGAAGGAGCTTTGTCAATAATACGCAGGGGTCTATCTGGCAAATACCAATTGTAGGACATCTAAAGAGCCTATCACGGGGCCGCCTGGGTGGCTCAGTCGTTGAGCGTCTGCCTTCGGCTCAGGTCGTGATCCCAGGGTCCTGGGATCGAGCCCCGCGTCGGGCTCCCTGCTCCACGGGAAGCCTGCTTCTCCCTCTCCCGCTCCCCCGCCTTGCGTTCCCTCTCTCGCTGTCAAATAAATATATAACATCTTAAAAAAAAAAAAAAAAAAAGCACGTCATGATGCCTTGGTATCTCAGTAAAACTGAAAACAAAACAAAAAGTGTCAGAAGCCCGTCTGCCCCTCAAATAGAGTTTAACACTCAAGGGTCCACCTCTCCTTAAGGAAATTCCCCTTTCCTGGTGCACTTCCTATCCTCTCAGCCTTGGTTCCCCGTGGAGGCCAAGCCCTGCCCCCAGAAAGGCCGTGAGAGCAGGAAACCGTGACCAGCTCTGCTTCACGATGTCACTCAATGCCAGCCCCGAGCTCCTCTTCCCGAGTTCCCCGATGGATTCTAGATCGCAGAGTGGCCGTGCGGGTGAGTGTTCTGTCTGGCAGAGACAGGCCCCTGGCTGGGGCTGCACCATTTAATACACCTTAATAAGCAGAGTAAACGTTTAACTCTCAATCGATATAAATGGCCTGCTGTAATTTTCTTGACTTCGGGAACATGGGATGGAAACAAGAGCCCTGGATGGAACATGAGAAGCAAGGAAGCAGACAGGACCATGCTTGTTTTCTTAGCATCAGGGGCCCCGCCAGCATAGGATTTATTAATTCCGTTTCTCAAATGCTAGTTTGTTCTTGTCCACGTTTGCACCGAGTGAATGTATGCAGTAATACGAAGCATAAAAATTCGTGTCTGGATCTGCCAAGAAATCTTTAATTTTGTTGGCTATTGGCACCACCGGACCTAGAGGAAGTGACGGTACTTGGATGTGTTAGGAACTTCTCCTGCGACGTGTCAGAGCCTCGCTCGCGCAAGTGGCTTCGACCTTCTGGAACCTGGGTGGCCGGCCAGCCAACGCGGCGGGCAGAGCAGCGGCCCCCACATATGTCCACGTGCAAACACCCGAATGCCGTGTGCGTGGCCGTGCGGGCACCGACTCGCTGGCTCTGAGAGGGGACACGGTTCTGGAGCATCCGGGTCAGCCCGGTATAACCACGAGAACCCTTACGAGTGGGAGGCAGTGGCAGAAGATGCTGCGTGATGCTGTGTCGCCCGCTGGGCAGAAGGAGGGAGGGGCCCTGTCGAGGGACGTGGGCGCCTGCCCGAAGCTGCAAGGAAACGGCCAGAAAACGGATTCTCCCGGGAGCCCCCGGAGGGGAATGCAACTTTCTCGGCTGCGAACTGTCAGAGGTTCCGTCTCCACTGGGGGAAGCCGCCCAGGTGGGGGCCCGTGTACTCATTTTCCGGGGCTGCGTGGCCAAGGCCCACAGAGTGGGAGCTCTGAAACACCAGAAATCCCCCTCTCACTGCGGGAGAGAGCCCCGCCACCCCTGGTGCTGCAGGCAAGCCTCGGCCTCCCGTGGCTTGTGGACACGTCAGTCCGGCCTTTGTCTCCCTGGTGCCCGTGTCCAGTGTCCCTCTGCCCAAGAGGACACAGTTGTACTGGATCCAGGGCCCACCCTTGATTCCACCTGCCACGATCCTATTTCCAGGAAGGCCACAGTCTGTGGACACACGTGACTTTTGGGGGACACCATTCACCCCAGTACTGCAGCCAGGCCTTTCTCTACCAGGACAGACCCCAAGAGGTGGATCTACCACGAGAAGCGTCTGGGCTCTCACACCTTCACGGCTGCATGTGCACATGTGGGGGCACCCGGCGTTTCCTGCACCTTCTCCACCCCTTGCATTTCTGCCTGAGGCTTCTGCCAACAGAGTGAGGGCACGCGGATGTCCTGCACATACCGGGGCCCTCTGCGCAGGCGTGCGCCCTGCCACATGGGAGCGGCCTCCAAACATTCCCACCTTGGCTCTTCCCCTTCAGGGGACCCAAGCCCAGCCCACCCGAGGCAGCGAGGACACCGCTTCGGTGTCCAGCGCTCTGCCGTGCCCCTAATGTCCCCTAAGGCAGATGCTGACACCTCTTGCAGCTTGTTTCTCCACTCCAGAAACAGGGAAAATGAACACGGAGACCTCCCTTTACCTGGCATTTAGAAGAGGGGGGGGAACAGAGAAGCTAGAAATGGAAAGAAGGGAGGGAAGAAGGGCGGAGGGAGGGACAGAATTGAGGACAGCCCCTGCGACAGGCCCTCTCCTCTGGGCCCCTGCAGGGCAAGCGGGCGCCTCGTCCACCTGCACACCCAGTGCTCCGCAGCCGAGCTCACCACTCCCCAGAGGGCGGTCATCTCACTCGGGAGAGACGTGGGGCAGACGCGGTCTCTCCGGGAAGCACCCTCCGCCCTCACCTCCTTGACCTCAGATGCCGGGAGCGGCCAGGGTTACATCCCTCCTCCAGGAGGCTCACGAGCTCAGGCGTCAAGCATCCCCTCCCCACAGGTGACTCCAAACCTGGATCTCCAGCCCCAAGGAGTCCATCAGTCAGGCAAAAAGCCCTTCTGGACGTTTCTAGGCATGTCTCCAGGCCTGGGCTCTGCAGATGTTACTAATGGCTGAGAGGCTGACCTGTTTCTAAGAACAAGTGCGGAGGGCAGCTGGGATTCGGCCTTGGGGTAGTTAGGGAAGGAGGTGGAGGCTGTATCGGGGACGGGTCCTAGACGCCTGTCCAACTCAGCCCCGACCGCTGCACTCCTGCATTCAAGGGGCTGATCGTGCGCTTCTTGAAAACACCAGGTGGTCTGCCACCTCCTTGGCTCCTCTTGTCATCCGTTTTGCTGGATCCCAAAGCCTCTGGAAAATCAGCCTGGCACAGAGGAGAAACAAAAGGGGTCCCACCAGGTCCCCTCCCCTTCTCCTTGGAGCCCGTGACTCAGTTGCTCTCCCGTGCAGCGCTGGTTTGCAGGGCTGGTTAAGTCGGTAGGACAAGACAGACCTAAGCCCCCAGCACTGTGCTGGCCTCCGTTCCAAGGAGCCCTGGGCTGGTGGCCCATTTGGAAATCAGCAAACAGTGATTTTTCAGTTAGGCAACCTCGCCTCATGTGACTATTTTCCCCCTTTACTTTCTATTTTGTACTTCTCCTTTATTTAACATGTTCTGTTTCAATCAGGCACTTTTCATATCCTGTTTCCTCGAAAAAGCCCTGTTTCCAAAGGAGCAAGGTGTTACAACAAACATTCTCAAGCATCTACTCAAATGACTTCCTTCGCCTCGAAAAGTGCCCATAAAATATTTGGCCTGTTTTAGTAATAGTGAATCAGTAGTACACAGCAATTTCGGGTTATGACAGCACTTTGTTCCTCTTTAATGTGCTTTGATTTTCAAGGGATGGGGTCATTCTGTACCAAGTGGAACAATTCGGTAGCACTGATGAGCATCCAAGCTGTATTACCGAGAATCTGGAAGCCACTGGAGCCTGGTGTAATTTTGAAACTCTGTGACATCATATACAGAGGATAATGCGTTCGATCCACCAACAAGGGGCATCTCAACCTCTGCCTGGTGAGGTGGCGGGACGCTCCCATGGGCGCCCCCCCTCCCACCCCCCGGGTCCCAGAGAAACAGCAGGACATATGGACGGTGCCATCCTCACATGCCATGGACAGGCGTCACAGGTCCACTTGAAACCAGAACAAGGTTCTGTTCCCACAAGCTCATGTAGGAAAGCTTCGTCTTATTAAAACCTGCTCTTTGGATCTGCCCATGATACTGGGGAGAAATAAAGAGCCCCATCCCATCCTCATTCAACAAAGAGAAGGCAGGTGGGAGCGTCTTCCAACAGAGCTCAAATGTGTGCTCTCCGAGGCCGACACACACAAGCTGAAGACACATCAAGTCTTCAGGGTGGGCACACCATTTCTAAAAATCTCCCACGAGCGGACGTGGGTTTTGTGTATTTTTTTACTCAATTACTGCTTAGTGCCATAGGGTGAACTCGATCACCTACAACCTAAGGGCAGCTGAAAGACTCCAAGGCTGTCACTCTGATGTGCCAGTCCACCAACGAACTTGGGAGACTTTCCTGGACGGTGCCTGCAGACACCCAGGGAGGCCCCTAGGAGGGACCCGTCCCGCCTCCACGTACCCGGGGCATGAACACCGCGAGGCACACAAGGCGGGGACAGCCTGGACCCATCACTCGACCTTCTTTTTCCCTTCCTCACTACTTCCTTCAACAGAGAGGACGTATTTTTGACAGCATGAATTAACAGTTTTCAGTCTATCCTGAAGACATAAATTGTTATCTCTAGTGGAATCTGTATTTGTGAGATCGGTGCTTTTCAACCCAAACTCACAGCGTCAGTCCCCCGAGAACAGTTATTTATCTTCACTCCGCCTGAACTCCACCAGTCACAGGATCTCCCTGTCGTTTCCTATACCGTGTGTTACAAACAAACAAAAATGCAGGGGTTTTGTGTTCATTTTCTTCCTCCAGATATAAAACTGTTTTAATACAGAGCAGGTGTAAGAATCACTATGTGGGAGAAATCAAAGAGCTGTGACAGGAGCAGGTGATACTGTAATTTTTATCGACTGCTGACTCGGGAAACTGTACCCCCCACGTGGCAGTTTGCGACCCCCATGAAGTAGTTAACGGGTCTCACATTTGAGGGGCTTTCAAAATAAAGTTACACCAAAAATACAGCAACAGACAGACAACAGTTTATTTAACAACATTCGAGCCCCCACATCCAATAAAGAACAATCCAGAAGCCGGTGACATCACACAGCTCGAGTCCACACGTAACGTGGAACACTGCCAACGGTCTCGAATAACACGGATTCTGTTTCAAGTCACGTGTACCTAATGTTCCTCCATGACTGGTCTTCAACCTCAGTGGTGTCCAGAAGGAAATGACCCAGAAGGACAGACTAGGTGAGGTTTCAAATACCCTGTACGTTGTTTTGTAGCTTGAGATAGGACACACGGTCTTAAATATTTCCTGATGTGAATTCTTTCTTAAGAAAAAAATTCAACGTTGATCGCTGAAAAGAGAAGTCGTTTCTGAAGCAGCAGACGAAGTATGTTCACCACCAGCCCGCACCAACGAGCTGGGCAATGGTGGGATTGGCGGCTTACGAAAGAAACCATCAATGTGACCTTTACACAAAATCTTTGCAGCATCAGGCTTTTATCTCTTAAAAAGCCCTCCCATTCCTCAAAGTAAGTAGTAGATGTTTATTAATCAAAAACATAAAAAAAAAAGTGAGCTCATACGGTCTGCGAGGAGGAAACGGTAACCCGTATCCAAGACATCAGGACGCCGACGGACACGCACACGGTCTCCCGAGGCCCCGGCAGCTCCGCCGCGGGCCTCCGTCCGAGGGTTCACGGCAGTCCGGACGAGAAGCCCGCGTCTGCTCCGGGAGGGGAACCACGGAAAGGCACTTACCCAGCTCATCTGGGAGAAGAGGAGGCAATCCAGGGACCACGCGCGTGGTCAGGAAGTGGGAGAAGCCTCTCCTGCTCAGCGCACGGCCGCCTCAGTCCACTGGCTGTGGCCCCGGGGACGTCAGGTCCTCCTGCTGGCAGGCGCCCCGCTGGCCCGCGCCCGCTGCCGGTCGTACCTCACAGAAACTATCAGGAAAAGCAGGAGGGTGGCTCCCTGAATCGCAGCCAGAAGAAAGAAGTAATAGTTCAGATGGCAGCCGTTAATATTGCCTGCGGAGAAACGAGGAGAAAGCCCGTCAGCCGCACTTAGGAACTGTTCAAGATTTTATCTATTAAGTTTGATTCCTAGCAAGGTCAGGGTGACTTTTAACTGCTGTTATTAAAAAAAGAGAGAGAGAGAGAGAGAGAGAGAGAAGAAAAAAATCTTCTCTCTGTAATTCAAAACACACAAGTATTTTGCTTCTAAAACCGCTGCAAACGCCACTCTGAAGCCAGCTACGTCTCTACCACGGGCCCCGGGCTGGGGTCTCTGCCGTGAACGGGCCCCCCTGCTCCTCAAACGTCTCCCCGCCGGACGACAGAAGGGTGAGGCCAAAGTGCCTGGGCAGGCAGCGTGGCAACAAGACCTATTTCTGACCACAGAAATCTTGGGATTCTCCCGAGAATCCACGCGGCCGCCGCAGAGACCGTCTGAGGTCAATGAGGAGAGCGTCACTGTGTTCACCCGCCACGACACAATGTCGAGAAAGGCTTCCTTTAAACTTTTCCAGTACAAAGTTTGGGGAAAGTGAACAAACAATGCCACCGTGCTCCCGCCCCCTCAGAAGCCAATACTGGAGGGAACGGTGTTTCCTCCCAGTCTTTCCCTGCAGTGCTCGCCACTGGGGGGCTGCCGGCCGGCCCGGAGCGCACTGCTGTCCTGAGGACCAATCCCCATGCCGATCCTGAAGGTGATGTTCTCCGCCGCTCAGGTCTAGAATCTGGGCACTTATCAAGGCCACACTGCGGGACAGCCCGGACACCACGTCCAGTGAGGAGTTCCGGATGTCCTGTGCCGGTCAGCAGTTCCTGGACAGTAAGCACCCTCCCATGTGTGTGCCCCGCACAAGCCAGGGCGGACAGCTGACATTCGCTCTACATACTATAGGAAGACAGAGTTTGTTTTTTAAATTTTCCCCCAAAGTTCAGGTTTTGGCATCCTCAAAGTAATATGGGTGCACACTTCGTCCCAATGGCTAACACACCTAATGCTCCACTCTGCCCCAAGCAGTAAGCATGGCCTTTCACACGCACTGTTCTGTTTAGTTCCCAATACATCCCAACCAGGCTGAAGAGGTTACAAACACAGACGTGGAAGCTCAACCTACGAAGTTCAAAGCCTCTGGCTTGCTCCGTCCGGACTGCTCCCTGCTCTGTGAAACGGGGGACACAGTAGCTGCTGGTGTCAGTGTGAGGAGTAAACATGCAGGTACCGGACCCTGCACAGGACCCGGGACATACAAAGGCTTTATGTCGCCCTCCTGTTACCGTCCCCTCATGTACACGTGGGTCCAGGACCATCAAGTCCATAAACTGGGGTCTTTCTGCTGGAGTTTCTCAAGGGCACCACTGACCACAACGCTCAGTGTGGAGAAGCAAGGAGGATGTGTGCAGAAAATACGATGTTCGTACTGGAACATCCAGAGCCACTCACAGCACGCTGCCCTGGGCTCCCTACAAAGCCTGACCCCATCACCATGGCCCACAGGTGTCCTACCACTTACACCGTTTGTCACCCACTGAAAAGGGTGACGCATTTCTCGACAGCCGAGCGAAGACATGTGCTTGGTCAGCAGTGCCTCCAGAGCCGTACGCTCTCTTGTGCATCGAACACAGCGTTCTGATTTGCTTATTAAATAATCGAGGCTTCTGTTCGCCTGAAGGGCTTTGTGAAGCCGGGTTGTTCTAGAACTCCCCTTCTGTGTCTGAACACATAACTAACACCAACGTTTCACACCGCTTGTATTCGTAAACACAGTTAACGGTGGATATAACACATCTGTACAAGGCTTGGACAGGCTGCAGAAAACAATGACTTCCCACATGGATCGGTTTGGGAAGGGATCTGGTAATACCTGAATTTCTAGCAGACCATCTACAACAAGTAGTTAGGAACAGTGACTGAGTCCCTACCACGTGCCAGGCTCCGCCCCAGGCACCGGGAGGCCCACACAGCCTTCGTGGAGCCCAGGCCTCACTGTGGCCACTGCTGTGTTAGCTCCACGGAACCAGACGAGCTTGCTCTCGGGGACACCAATGATGTCATTCCACGTGCAGATACTGAAGTATGAATCTCCCCAAATTAAGGAGTCGTTTCAAACTTCCGAAGCTCCAGTGCCTGGGTGGCTCAGTTGGTTAAGCGTCTGCCTTTGGCTCAGGTCATGATCTAGGGGTCCTGGGATCGAGCCCCGCATCAGGATCCCTGCTCAGTGCGGGGCCTGCTTCTCCCTCTGGCGCACACTCTCTCTCTCTCAAGTAAAGATGTAAATAAATCTTACAACTTCTGAAGTTCAAAGCCGGCATGCCAAGAGAACTACAGTTTTCCCTGTTAGGGTGGGCCCGTGTAGGATTAGGAAGGGCGTTCAGAAACCGCAATTACTCTATGCTTCCTTGAGCCTCTTCCAGACCGAAGGACAACCGCACCTAAAGACAGTAAACTCTGGGAGGCTGTATGTGCTAAGACAGACTCCTGAGCCCCGGAGAGATGAGCTCACATGTCCCCCCCGAGACACACGTGTGAGAAGGTCCCCAGCAGCTTTACTCATGACAGCCTCACGCTGGAAACATCACAAACTCCCAGCAAGAGCAGAACAGATCAATGAATTGTGACTGACTCATCCACCAGCTACTCCCCAGAATAAGAAAGAACAGATTACAGGGGATGACTCCCAGACGAAACTGTGAAACAGAGCCGGCCACCACAGAGCAGAAACAAGAAGGCATCCACGGTGCCCGATGTTGCAGCAGCAAGGACCTAGCGGGGTGGTGAGCGGACTGCTTACAGCAGGCCCCAGGAAAGCCTCCCAATACGTCCTGCGTCCTGATCTGGAGTGAAAACATTGTGAAATGTGCACTTAAGATTGGTAAGCTTTAGGGGCGCTCAGTCAGGTGAGTGTCCGACTCTTGACTTGGGCTCAGCTCAGGATCTCGGGGTCAGGGACTGGGCCCACCTCGGGCCCCCCGCTCAGCGTGCAGTCGGCTTGGGGATTCTCTTCCTCTCTCCCTCTGCCCCTACCCCTGTTCGAGCACACTCCCTGTAAAACAAATCTTAAAAAAAAAAAAAAAAATCCTTAAAAAAAAGATTTTTTGGGGGGGGTTGCCTAACAGCCTGAATTATCCCGGATCTAAGTGATGATGATGATGACGAACACCCAGCCTACGGGAGAACAGGCAGGGAAGGGAGCAATGGTGAGAGAGCAGGGGCTCTTCCTCCACACCACAGTCCGGTGACTACCCAGGAAGCCACTCCATGCGCCAGTCGTGGGATGCTCAGCCAGCTCCACGCCACCTGCTTCACCCGGACCTGAACACAAGTGCAGAAGGGAAGGACTGAACAGCAGAGAGCCAGGAAAAGCACAGAGCGCGCCCAGGATGGCACCTGCTGCGCCCTCTACTGAAGCAAAATGTTATCTGGGCGTGTGTGGGGGTTACCTGGTCCCATTCTCTCCCCAAGTCCCCAGGTGGGAGGGAGCTGCCTGGCCCGCTGCGCACTTCCCACCTCTGCATCCTCTCCTTGCCAACCAAGCTGCAGGGCACTGGGGGCTGGCACAGCTTGCTGAGACTCTCCTTCCTGGCGTGGAAACCAGGACAGCACTAGACATGGTGTGGGGCTGTCCTAGGACACGCTGCTCTGAAAGTGACCCCAGCACACAGGCTCCAGCTGTAAGCCTTATGTGTGTGCGGGACATGAGGACCAGAGACAAGCCTCACAGTGAGGGGCTGGATGCCACCCTGTGAGAAATGAGGGCGAATGATGGTAAAGGTGGAGATACTAAGTCAGTGACAAGGGGATGAAATCACTGGAAAGCAATTAATCGAAATCACCAAAACCAATCAATCCTTCAAGATATGCTGAAAAATAAGACAAAGAAATAGAAGGATCACGGAGTTTTGACCTGCAGCAAGGCTTCCTCTGAAGAAGGTCCATCCCATGCCCAGAAAAACAGATCACAGGCCACCAAGAACCCGTGTGAAAATTCCCAGGAGCCACTGTGCCCCTGCTCTGTATTCCACAGCCGCTTATGCTCCCAGGGGTCTGGGAATCAACAGCAAAGCCCCAGACCTGCCTGCTCTCTTCGGAACAACTAGGTCCGAGCCCGCCGTGGAGACGCTCCCACAGCCAGAACGCAGCGCGGCCAGGCCTCTGGGAGCCGCAGGGGCGGCTGTGGTTTCTCAAAGTCACACTGGGACTCCACAGCCCTAAACTCACTCCTCAGGATGGGAAGGTTAGCTCAATCAGGGAAGGGCCTTTGGAATTCTGTATTTTCTTAGGGGAAGTCCCTAGGCTTTCATCAGAGTTCCAAGTGGATTTATGACCTACAAATGGCTAAGGGCCCTGGACTCAAGTAAATGCTGCACAACCGAACAAGTACTAAGGCTGTTTTCACAGCAAAACAGAAGAAGGAAACCTCCATCTCCTGAGTCCAGTTAAAAGCTACCATAAATCTGGGATCAGCAAAATTCTTTTGTGAGTGATTCTGCTCAACGCCCCAACATGCCACCTACTGGCCGGTAAAATCCCCTCCTGACGGTCACGAGTCACAGCTGTGACTCAAGAAAGGAGCTTTCTCTCTCGCTCTCTCTCTCTCTCTCTTATCTATCTATCTGTCTGTCTGTTTTTAACAGCAGAAAGTTTAAAGGTGCTGTCAGGAAAAGAAAACCAAATACAAACCAAGGTAAACAAAGAGAACCTGCTGATACAGACGCTACTGATCAAAGATATTTCGAGGGAGCAGCTGCAGCCCTGCAGACCCAGCACGAGTGGCTGAGGCGATCTGGCCCCGGGACAGAGGCTCACCTGCGCCCCGGCAAACTCACAAGGACGTAGGGGATCAGGCGGGGGGGTGGTCTCAGGTGGTTCTGGGGCGGCCAAGTTCCAGTAACACCACACACCCTGGGACCCGGGCGCCAGGTTCTGCCAATGGCCGTGTGCAAACAAGGTGCAGCCCTTACCGAAGTCTGTGTGGTTGCTCATCCAGCCGATGGCTTTGATGGACACCAGCTCCAACAGTCCAGAGCCCACAAACGAGCCGACGCCAGAGAAGAAGAAGAACAAACCCATTATGGCGCTCTGCATGGACTTGGGGGCAGCCGAATAGGCGAATTCTAGACCTATAGAAAAAAAGGATTGTTTCTGTGAGAGGTGGGCTGACAGGGCCCCTGCCTAAATATGGCAGATTTGCACGGGACCCCATGTGGGGTCTCAGGTAAGCAGGGCAGCTCTCTTCCCTAATTTGAAGACTGTATTTAACACAAGGTCAAGAAATCAGGGGCCCCTTCTATTCACCAGGACAGTCCTTCAAGTAAGTCATAGAGCAAAAAGTCAAGTCCTTGCTCTCAAACTTCACAGTAACATCTGACTTGTCAGCTCTTGTATTTCTTGATCTATATGGTTAAAGAAGCAATCTCCTATGTTCTCAACTAAGGAGGATCTGCAAACAACATATACAGACTAAGATGGGGATTCTTTGTAAGACTTCTATCTTAAAGGCCATATATTTTAAAATAATTTCAACAGGGACATCTACAAATTCAGAATTTTATAACAACTACACATGGAGATTCACAATGTACTGCAAACGAAGGACCACTCTGTTCATTTCCTTCACGGTCAGGAGCGCATCCTGCGTGAGTCTGATGACAGGTGTGGAGGGGATCCGCCGCCGGCATCCCCCCACAATCCATCCGGCTCTAGTCATCCTTAATTCTGTCCCTCCCTTCCAGCAGCTGGGAACGGGTCTGCACACACTGCACTTGTCCACACCCCACAGAACGCTGCTTGTAGGAGGAGAGAGGCCTGTGTGAACAGGTCTGCCTCCTTCATAAAGCCGACCCGACACACCCAGAGCTCTGGTGGCAGCTAGCGGCTGGGCTGCCACGGCAGAACCACAGAGCTGTGGTTAGGAAGTGTCCGACCTGGGAGGAACCACCCACAGCCGCTTCCTCCTTCTGTCTCTTGTGGCACCTCCGCAGTAGCGGACAAGTCATGGGAATATCTCTGGGAACCCTGTTCTTATACCCAGAAACGAGAACCTCAGCCACGGTATCACTGTACTTACTGACTCACATTCTGAACCACAGCTGTTGCCATGAAACACAAGGGCACTAGGCCCCTCGTGTCTCCGCGTGTTCTAATCACGCCCCCCCCGTTCCTTCCAGACCCTGCCAGCCCCACACCCCGGAGGGAGAGCAGCCTCACCTGCTATGCTGGCAAATATCTCACTGATGCCAATCAGCACATACTGTGGGACCTGCCACCATATCGGCAGGTCAGCAGCGTAATACACGACTTTTCCGATGGTCTGATTGATGGTTTTCTCTTTAACAAGGTCCAGCCTTTTGCTCTCCAAAATTCCTAGAATTCATAAGCAGGTTAATAGAACACTTGTTCATTAACATTCAGTTAAACTAAAACACTACAGACTTGCTACAAGATGTTTACTGACTATCGTGAAAAGTAGAAGGGCAAGACCCAGGGACACGGCAGCCCCGGAGGCGCCTAACCTAAAGGACCGCCCACTTCCGGCTTCCCAAATAGTTACTCACTGATCCTATGAGACATGTCAGGCGGGTGTTTTCGCTGCCTCACACAACAGACACTGCGCACGTGTGATTTAAGCCTCCGATGTCTAGATGGCCCACCTGGACGCCAGCTGTCACACAGCCCTCCGTGAGAGTAATAAGGCACCCACATGTCAGGAGGTAGTGAGTTCTGAGACGTTTATCTTGCCATGTAACGGATTTAGGCTGGCCCACTGACTTACTACCCTTACGACTACACCCCCGGCTCCGGCTGATACCACCAGTTTCCTGGCTGAACCCCGGTGAACAGCCCACACCCTCAGCAGCCCTGCGGTCCCGCTCCATTACTGGTCATGTGTCAGGGGCAACAAAGAGACACAGGGAAATGACCAAGAGCACAAACAGCCACACCTTGTAAAACAAAAAAATAAACCAAATCAGAGTAAAGCTTAAAAGCAACAGCCATAGCTCCAAGTTCTCAGGTCAGAGAGGTCACCGGTTTTGTTCCTAAAGAACTCTGTGAACGGAGTAATGGGCCTAGTATTTAATATTTACGCAAACGCACATGTGTTCAAAACCGCGCAAACGAGGACAGCAGCTGTCTGGAGAGGGCAGTGGATTCTATTAAAAATACCCCTTTTAAGAACCCAAGACCGAGAAAGGTCCAGGCTACCAGTAACAGGAGGACGGGAAGACAAATTCTGGAATCTGCCCCAAGTTATAGGTCACAGGAAATGTCCGAACAAGGAGAGCGTGGAGAGGGCAAAGAGCGTACCAGAGGAGCAAGGTAAGGACAGGCCTCTGGCTCACCTCCATCAGAAACACCTGCAGCCCTTCCCTGGAGGCGCGTGGAGGGGACCCCAACCCCCACACCCTGTCCTCTAGCAGGAAGTGCAGGAGCAGACCCAGGTGGCGGCAGACCCAGGTGGGCCGAGCCGTCGGCCTGGAGTTCCAGCTGCTCTAGCCGGGGCCTCTGAGGCGTGGCACTGCCTGTGGCCGTCTCTGCCAGGACGCTGGTGGTGGCACGAAGGGCCTTATCCACAAGTGACAGCTTGTGGGCCCAGGACAAAGTGTGACTGGCTTCCTCTGGGTCAGCCGAGGTTCCCTTCCCACTGGTAGGACCCTGCACTGGCCACCAGTGTGCGGAAGGTTCTGGAGCAATTCTAGCGCAGCTGGGTCTGCAGGAAGGACCCTCTCAACCGGCCCTGAGGGACGACAACAGAAGCTGGAGAAAACACTCTCCTCCACAGGGAAGGCCGGACAGGTAGGGGGACGTGTGTGTGTGTGTGACGGGTGTAGAGGGTGCCGCTGGGGACACGACCCACTCTGTGGTCTTGGCCACGATGCGGACGCCGTGCAGACCAGGGGAGAAGAGGCAGAACCAGGGGGACGCAGAGCACAAGGCCGGGGGCGGGGGAGCCTGTGAAGATGAAGGAGAGCTCTCCGGCGGCAGGCCCGGGAGGATGAGGAGCTGTGCAGCACGTGGCCGACTGCGCAGAAGACAACAGGAGGGAGCACCAGTGGCGAAGCTGCTACAGCGGAGCAGGGGGGGCCGCCAGCACCGAGGCCCCGGAACAGGCCGTCGTGAGGTGACAGCAGGGAACTAACAAGGAAGCATCAACGAGTGTGAAGGAAGGGGCCGAACAGCTGACACAGCACACTCCTTAGTGACCGACGGCTCTGCAGAGGTCAAAGCAAACCAAACCCATCGGTGTGGGCAGGATGACGCTGGAAGGCACAGCAGCACTGCGGGGGTCAGGGAGGGAGGGACCGGCCACGGCGCAGCGGCAGTCACCAGTAGAGGAAGAGGCGACGCCACATGACAAGAGCCGAAGCCTCAAGAGAAACACACTGGAAATCACAGACGCGCTGCGCTTCACGCAGGCCCTCTGCCCACGGCTTCACAGACACGACAGCATTTATTCTGCACAGAACCGGGGAGACTAACGGCACCACGCTCTGGAACGTGAGCAGCGCAAACTCTGGGCACACACATGGGCTCAGGACCCCACGTGCGCCACCTCTCCCCTGGGGGACACAGTTAACCCCGGAGAAGACAGAAGCCCGGTGACGCTGTGACACACACACACCCCTCCGAGTCCCTGTCAGAACAAGCAGACAAAAACCACCAAGGCCTCGTCTGGAGCAAGCGTTGCCATCCAGAGGCCCAAAGGCAAGCCCTGGCCTCCGTGGACACGACACACGGCTCAGGACTCAGTGGACAGAGGGGACACAAAGGTCAGTGCTTACGGAGTCACTCTGGGTGACCCACAGCGTTTGAGAGAGGGCGTGGGCAGAAGCTGGGTCCCGGTCACCAGATGATGCACAGACCACCACACATTCCTGGACTGTGCACTCATCCATGGGGTCTCTGGGCCCCTCGCAGGCCCTGCAGTGCCGGGCTCCTGCCAGAACGCGTCTGATGAACACAGAGGATGGCGCTCCCAACAAAGGAACCATCCTGTCCGGCTCCCTACAAACACTTCCAGAAAGCGCGATCAGGCCAGAAGGAGGGCGTGAAGTCTGAACGCAGGAGTTCAAAGCCAGGATCTCTCCCAACTCCACAGTAAGTCGAAGCATCATTAACCAATGGATGAACATCAGTACCAGGGAAACAGTTCTCTGGAATCACTCGTGGGTCATAAAGGAAGTAAAACCCAGGTTCAGCAGTCTTGGGAAACAACAAAATTACAACAAATCCAAGCACATGAGACCTGACAAAGCAGCAGTGACAGGCAAATTCATGCCATTCTACAGTTTTCACTATTAAACTGTAAAAGCAGCAGCAAAAGTAAATGAAGAATCTAACTCATGAGAGAGAAAAATCACAAAACAAACCCAAGGCAATAGAAGAGAAATTGTATCTTAATTATTCTCTATTGTTAGAAGACACAAAGTCAAATTGACAAATTCAAGAGATACTCCTATGGAAAAATCATCAAATACATATAGTTTTGGCAAGCCTAATTAAAAAAAAAAAAAGAGCACATAAATACACGAAAGTGGAAATGAGGAAAGAAATACAACAGATTTATTTAAAAGACAATTTTTATCTCCAGTCCAATAATTTTTCTAAAACTCAATAAAATGAATGGTTTATTCGGGACATTTTTAAAAAAACAAGTGATTCAAGAGAAAACACAATCTGCACAAAACTGAGAAAAAGGTGAAAACATCACCCCATTTCTCCTGAGAGAGCAATAGGCTCATGTGATTTTCTAAGGCAAAGACCTGGGGAGCACAAAGAGAATTCTCCCCAGGCTGAAATACTCTCCTGCCCATAGAAATTGGGGGTCTACCAACTCCTTTTATGAAGCTATACGACCCCAAAACCAAACCACAGACTGATGTCAACTAGGGATGGAGGCACGCAGGTGTGAATAAAATAGCAGTCTGCAAACAATCAAAGTCAGCCCTCTGGAAAAACTCATTTGTTTTAGAAATGCAGGAATGAGTATCAGGAATTTAACATAAGTAAAAAAACATCAATCCCTGGGGGCGGGGGTGCATGCAGTCCTCTTGGAAACCAAAATGTTACTGGAGAAAGATTTAACATTCATTTCTACCAAAAATACTCAGTAAACTTGAAATAAATGTTAGAAATTTAGCAGCACCGTGAATATGTTATCTCAAACTCCAGTTCTGAGCTTCCCTGGGAGCTGCCCTGGAGGCGCCCTGTACAGAGTCCAGGTGGGGGCGGGCTCTCCATCACCGCCAGCTCTCCCAGTGCTGCACAGTCCCACCAACACCGCCCAACAGAGACACAGGGAGGGAGAATCACCGTGAAGGCAGGAAGGGAAACCGTGCTATCTGAAGAAAACAAGTGACCATGTGAAAAGAATTCATTTGAACTCAGAATTTTTAAAAATCCCTTATGTGAGCAAGCAAAAGTACATCAAGTAGTTAGGAAAAACCTAACAAAAAATGCACAGGACCTAAAACGAAGAAACGCATAAAACTGCAAGACCCCATAAACAAAACTGAAGAAAACATGAAAACACTGGAAATGATACTCCTCCGATGAAAGTTTTGATTACATTGTCAACAGGAACAAGAAAACCCCAGTACAAAATGCCACAGGGCGTAACGGTGCACAGAATGAGGACTGACCACGTGGGGGGAGTCACCATCACCCTAACATGTATCAAAACGAAGACAAACCCTGTTTAAATCCTTCAGGGAAGAGATTCACAGGAAAAGTAAGGAGCACTGACAAGGGAGCTAACAGCAGACCTCGTGCCTGTGCCCTGAACACCCCCCACTGAGGGGCAGAGCGCCAAGGACAGACGGGAGGACGGGTGAGGCATGTGCACAAGCAGGTCTGACGTGCGGGGGTGGCCCGGAGTTAGCAGCACTGGTCTGAGAACTGAAGGCATACTTAACAACGGAAGACTGTACAGTTGTTCAACACCATGACTTAAACGTCTAAGTGACATAGAAAAATGGTACGTATGTAATACACAAGAACAGTTGAGTTATAAACTGAATAGTTCATTTCATTTCTATTTAAAAAAAGATGAATTTAGCTGTAACAGCGAATGTCCTTGGAAGACATCCACCCTGGATGGGGGGGCGGTTACGGATGCTCTGGGGTCTCCCGGCTCTTCTCTGTGCGTTTGTCATGACCACGACCGACTACGTGATACCGATTTTTGAAAACCTGCTGTGGACCAGTGGTTCTTAAACCAATGCCAGGTACAAGCCGGGAAAAGGCTCTCAGCAGGTTCTGCTCCAATTTCAGGGTGCTCTCTGGCCCTGAAGGCTGTGCACAGACTCCCACCTACACCTGAGTGACGAGCACCCATGACACCACCAAGGGTGATGGGGGGGCCAGCATGTGGACGGGTAGGCACCACCAGCCTGGGGTGTTGGTGGAGTCGTGGCCTTCCTGGAAGAGAACTCTGTCAGATGATCCAAAGCCTTAAAGGGATGCCCTGATTACACTTGCAGAAATCCACCGCAGTAATGCCCAGAGTCATGAGCCCAAGCACCCCAACCCCCAACCCCCAGCCACGGAGGAATGTGTGACATGGAGGGATATTCACGATACTTCTGGGCTGGTTTTCAAAGCGTGACAAAGGAAACAGAAACCTATCTACCACATACCATGTATGTAATTTTCCCATGCACCCGCAGAAAGGTAATTAGATTTCCAAAGGTGGTGGAATTATGAGTGCATGTGTGCGTGCACATGCGCGCAATGGCTCATCTGTCTTTATACAGATTTTTCCCTCCTTACATGTAACATGCTCGGCTTTTATTATACTCTTAGGGTTTTTCTGACACTTACTTTCTCAATCAGGCTCATATCAGCTTGCACAACAGGATTTCATTTTTGCAAAAACACAGAGGGAGGGCATGTGCACACACACACAAACAAGATCAGGCAGGTTCACACCATCCTAATGGTGAGCGTCTCTAGGGAAATTACAGCTGGTTTCTATTTTCTTCTTTATGCTTCCAAGATCACCCTCCCTCCAGTGAGCATCTCTTGCTCCAGTAATTCAGGGGTATACACACACACACACGGTTCTTTAAGGGGAAAAGGAAATCTAACCAATGAACACACTTCCTTTTTCCTTATGCACACTTGAAAAAACCCCTGGGAACTGCTTGATTCTGAGCTGAGAGACAAAAGAATGAACCATTACCAGCAGGCACGGTTCTAAATGGAAGATATTGATTGGTTACGGGGGAGGGTAGTAAGTTCAAAGCCAAAACTGTTTCCTTTCTATTAAAATGCTGGTTTGCTAGGATAGTTTCAATTTCTACTCAAAGCTTATTAATGTTCCAATTAAATACTCGCTAGAGCTGGAAGTAAAACTGTGTGTATTTCGGGCCATGTTTGTATTACAGTTAATAAACAGTGCTTAAATCAAGTACCAGATACTTAAAATCTCCAAACCAGTGAATCTGGGGCTCCTTTCCACTATTTAAGAACACAAGCATAGTGGATGCCTTCCATTTTTAAGAAAGCAATTCCAACTCAGAGGCCTCAGGGCCGCGTGACCACACTAGCTGCCTGCCCCCCCACCCCGAGGGGCGCGGGCGGCCCCACAGAGCACGGCCTGTTCTGCCCAGCGCTGGGCGAGAAGTGCCGTGTGTACTGCGGGCACCGGTGAAGGCCGGACGCCATGCCCACAGGGTACTCTCAGAGGTCATGCATCTGTCAGCTGCCTCCTGCACAAACATGTGCAGAGACCACAGGAATGCCCTCCCTGGTTCTCAGGGTGGCCCCCAGAAGAACCGAAAGACAAGATGGTATTAACAGAGCCCAAACCCGGAATCTCCTAGGAAATGCCTGAAAACCGAGGACACCTCCCTTCCCAGAGGGAGAGAAGAAGGACTACCCCCCTTCCTTGGCATGTGACCAGTGTGGCCGTGGTGCAGAGAGGGCCCCCGGTACAGGGACAGAGGGGAGCTGCGGGGCCCAAAGCTGAGCCCATAGCAGGTGCTCAGGGGAGGCAGGACAGACAGACGGCAACCCTGGGCAGCTGTTACTCCAAACTGCCCTGATGATCTCTGATCCCGCTTAATGAGACCCGCAATTACAGCCCCACAGCAATTTAGTTTTTATTTGCTCTTGCTTATTTCCCCATGTGCTACAGGACTGGGAGAGAAACAGAATCATGAACAGAGCACACAGTAAAAACTTCATTCAGACACGACCTCACTTTAATTATCTGTTTGATCAAGAGAAAATGTAATTGTCTTCTAAAATGTCCCGGTCCCTGGAATATAGATTTCTTAAGCCTAGGGACTCATTTCTTTAAATCTATTAAGTACTATATCAATACGTTCACTCTGGGGACAGTGCATGGAGGCTGCTGGGAAACATTGCTGGAGAATATTAAATTCTGTCTCAGCAGTACTTAACATTAAATTCCTCATAACAGCGGGTGATATATAGTTGGTTCAGGAATATCAGCTTTTCTGCTCTTGTTATGTAACTCAGCTGTCTTATAGTTCAATGATTTTCAAATATTAATGAAGGAAGAACTCCAGAGCGAGTTGAGAATGTCAGCAGTACCTCAGCTCTATCAGAAGATATTCCAACCTATCAGTTCAGAATTTAAGAATCATGAAAACTCCCCTCACCAGTGTTGGGGTGCTTCAGGCATTGGCTCACATCCCCTCTCTCTCTGGGGGTGGGGGTTGGTCATGAACCTGGACTTGATAAAACCTTTCTCCTCACGAAACGCACACGCGATTGTTCAGGGGCAGACCAAAGCCGACTCTGGACCTAACTTAAGAACACTAAGGGTCAACCCATGACTTTGAGACAGATAATAAAAATTCATCCATTCAGCAATCAACAGTCGTCCACAGTCTCAATCAGAAGGGAGAGCACAAGCCTCCTCTGATCCAAGCCGAAAGTCACTTTCCAGAGCACTCTACCAGTTTTGGCTCTAGAAGAAAAACAGCAGAGCCTTAGGGAGAAAATCTTAACCTTCACATAATGGAAACCAGAAAGTGAACGGCACCCGTTCACAACACCCCACGTCTGTCCTCTTTTAGGGTGCACACACGCAGCGTGACCAGAGGCCGGTCATGGGGCTCCGAGTCATCCACAGCTGCTAACACCAGTTTCAAGCTCCAGAAATGAGACAGAAATGCCTCCCCACCTGCAGCGAAGGCAGAACACATCACAAAGAACATTCCAACGGCGATCCTTTTTAGGGACGACGGGAGTAAGCCATTTCTTCTCAGAATGGGATCAACCAGTTTATCCTTTAAGGGAATTAACAGGAGGATGAGAACCGCGTCGAACATGGTCAGCCAGGCCGCCGGGAACTAGAATCGAAACGCACGAGACAAGGTTAGTTCTCGGGAGGAGTAAGTAGTCATTCACCTCATAACTAATGTCTGACTGAGAATATCTTTATTCTAGAAGAGTCCATTCATACAAAGTGTAACCTCCTAAGGAAAAAGTCTCAGTTTCAAGACAGTGAAACTGAAAAAGATTTTCATTTCCAAGTGCATTTGCATTTGTTCTTCTGTGCTTTTAGGGAGAAAAAAGTCAGGTAGGAAGATTAGTGTTTGGCTGCCATTTGTCAACGATCTAGAAACGACACGGCCAATAGAACAGTCTCCAAAATAAGCAAAAGTTGCATTCCAATGAGAACGTTCCTGGTTCAAGCCACCACGGACCCTTGGGAAGGACCTACGACTGGCGGAAAGCACCTGCCTGGTACATAAGCTCCAGGCGACAATTTCAGATCATCTCAGTTGTTCTCACCGTATGAGGAGTGGCTGTGATTCTGGAAATCGCTGGAATCTTCAAATGAAGACTCTGCAGAACGTACGTTGTCTGCATCTGGGTGTAAAAAGTGGTACCGTTATGTGTGGGAACACTCCAGCGAGCCGCCCACCCCCCGACCGCTCCATGAGGACGTGCACACGGCTCGGATCTGAAGACAGATCGATTATTTGGTCATCGTACAAGTCATCTGGAGATCAACTTTGGAAAAGAAGTAACAGAGCAATTAAGCCCAAAGGTGGGGCCTGGAAAGCAGAAGCACACCCGCTCTTAGCTTCTCTCATGGAAAGGGTCTCAAGACGTCTGACTCAGCAGAAGTGAGTTCCACGACTGGAAACCGGACTCCAAGGTCCCACAGACGCCGCAGAGGAGAGCACGGCGCCCCTGCACTTTGGTGGCAACCAAAGCGAGTGCGGGGACAGAAAGCAATGGATACCCGACCATCGGCACTCACTTGGAAATACACCGTCCAGTAAGGTATCAAGGCCAAGAACACGGGGATGATCTTCACAAGGGCCTTCACGTCCTCCACCGTGCCCTCCGCAAACGGCCCTCCGCGAGACCTCTTACATGAATCAAACAGACTGTGTTTAGAAGAGTGCTGAAGGACTCCAAGGCCTTCACTTTGGGAGATAAAACGAAGGAGTTAGTTGTCTTCCACCCCCAGAAATCACGTATGTGGCAACAATTTACGTCTGGAGGCAGGAAGCCAGCTCGCTGCACTGATCTGCTTGAACACCCTCCTGCTCCTCACTAACTGCGCACTGAACACAGCAGCCTGGGCTGGGGGAAGCACTGTGCGTGTGTGGACGCGGCCGGCAGAGGGCCTCGCCAGGAAGCGCACCTGCGCTCCTGCCACGTTAGGAGGCCACAGGCCTGGCGCAGCTGGTCTCTCCCCCAGCTCCCGTCACGCACGCCGAGCAAGGCCTGCGGTTTCACTTGAAGCTGGTCACTACGTCAGCTACAGCCCTGGACGAGCGTTTGAGGGGGAAAAAATGGGCTGGATTGGATTTTGAATCGGGTGGCTTTTCCAAACGTGAAAACTTCACAACCATAACACGGATGTTGTTACCAAAGCCGTTGCTTTAAAGTGCAGCCACTGATGGGCCCATGAGGAAGGGCTCTGTCTGGCGGGGAAAGCGGTGATCGTGATGGTAACCTGGCGGTGTCACCAGGCGGCTGGTGTTACTGGGTGCTTGCTCATTAACCTGGACCGCTACCGTGGGAGGGGTCGTCAGGACAGTTTCACTGGCCCCGCTGCACCAAGGAGGAGGCCAGGGCGCAGAGAGGGTCAAGAATGTGCTCAAGGTAACAAAGCCAGAGAATGGGGGCCGGGATTTGACCCAGAGGGCCCTGGCTGCAGAGCCTAAGGCCCAGGCCCAGGGGACGTGGCCTGCCCCTCCGCTCCCTGGCCACGGGCCTCACCCTCACGCTCACGTGAGTCAGGCACGGTCAGCAAATCAGGCCTTCTGGTCCTGGCTCAGGCACTAGCAGCTGCACTCACTCGCTTACTCTAGGACAGTTTCATTAATTATAAAATGAACACGTCCCAGTGGACAGCTCCACAACACTCTAACAGAGATATATGCTCTTAGATTGTTAGGGATAAAACACACAAAAGAAATTGTTTTATTTGCCAACTATTCTCTAAAGCCACAGAAATACCAGGAGATAAATAATTACCATTAAGAATTCTTCCCGTTTTCCAATTCTGGGACTCAGATATAAATGGCAGTGGTCTGCTTTCTAGTTTATAAACTCCTATCCAATTTATAACTAAGTGACTACTATTTTAAATCATTTTTGTCTCAAAACATTGACACTGTTTCATCTGAACATTCACAGTGGGGGGGGACGAAAAAAATGAAAACTGTAACTTAATATTTTAGCCAAATTTTAGACAGGACAACTAAATTCAATTCAATAAACATTTACTGACCACGTACTACACACCCAGGTCTGTTCTACCTGGTGCTAGAGATACACAAAGTTAGAAAGATACTACTCCTAATCATATGTAGCTTATTTAGTAAGGAAAATAATCAGGAAAACTACACTCAAAGAGAAACTCGAAACTCCAAATATACTACTCATACTTTCATTTGAAAATATTCACAGCTTCTCCAATTTTATTTTATTTTATTTTATTTTACTTGGCCAAAAGCAAATGTAAAGTCCTTACATACCTAGTTCAGATGCTATCTGACTTACTACATCATACTACATGTGTTTCTCTAAAAACATGTCAGTGTCCAGTAACAAATCCATTTTTACACAGAGAATCACTCAGACATGTTACTGGTTACATTACTTATGTTGTTAAGATATTTTGAAAAGTACTAAATCACAGGCACCTCATGCTTTCCCTAACTCACACATGCTGTTAGTGTATTAGTTTGCAACACACGAGGGTCCAACATGGAGCCACAGACACAAATGACATGAAACACAGACAGGACCTAGAAAGTGCCCCAGCTCCATGAGGCCGTGCTCCCCAGACCTGTGTGCAGACAGCCTCTGCACACACATGTCTTCTCCCAGGAAGACGGTCTATTAATTCTCAGACTCTCAACTCAAAGACGTATGTATCTCAAAAAATGTTTAGAACTATTCCCACTCAGTCTGATGAACTGAACAGATATACCTGGACTTCTCATGTAAAAGGAGTGTTAAACTAATGTTCGGGACACAGATCAACCTAGGCCAGAAGGAAACCAGAACCGGGCCAGATGGAGGAGACACTGCGCGATGCTGAACTTCCCTAGATTTCTGGAGCCAACCTTCTGCAAGAGCATCCTGGCCGCAGCTGACATCAGCCAGGCTCTCATCATGGGCCAGGCAGGCATTCCGCCGAGAGCTGTGTACACGTCAGCTTCTCAGGCCTCACAATGATCGTGAGATGAGCTGCTCTCCACTGTACAAAAGGGAATGCAGGCTTGGCAAGGTCATTCACCTGCCCAAGGTCACAGAGCTCGGACTCTGTGTACAATGAGAGCATAATTTGAGAATTCTCTGGACACCGACCTCTCTGCAAGATAGTCCTTTTTATCTTAACTTTGCCAGTTATCCAAAAAACAAACTTAACCCTAAGTAGAAGTCAGTCCAGATTTCATTCGTCACGCCATTTGTACATTCAGAACCCAAAACTGTCCTCTTGCAGAAATGTCTACGGGTACCACCCACACCGACACACTGAAACTTTAAAGGCTGTATTTTGCTCATGAGTAACTAATCTATAGAGTCAGCGTCCACGAGCGGAACCCTGCATCTGCCCCGTCGGAGTCGGGGAGTCAGCGTCCGGGAGCCTCTGGCAGAGCAAGAGTGAGGCAGCACTGTCCAAACTTTAAACATTCTCCAGTGTGGTGCCACCACTGGTACTCCTGAATGAGGAGTCTGAATGCCACACTGAGCCGTTGGGACTCCAGGTGCGGCTGGGAGATCTGCGGGAACCCCACGCAGGGACAGTCGAGGAGCCCCCGTAGTCCGGAGCCAAGGGACAAGGCCACAAGAGCTATTCTGGAACAGCTTCCAACCTCCCGCATGGAAGCAAATAGCAGACATTCACGTGACTCCAAGGGCGTATGTAAGATACAAGCAGACCAGCCACAAGGAGGCACTTTCTGGGTCCTGTCTGCAGAAACTTCAGCAGTCAGGGCCACCCAGCCATGAGCGTGCTGCCCTAACGGGCAGAAGGCTCCCTCCGGCTGAACGGTTAGCCCCTGGCTCAGGGACCGCCCACCCCTCAGGAATGCCTGCTTTGAGCAAGATATTCCGAGGGGGTCAATTACAAGGGGTCCCAGGGACTTCTCTGGGGTGATGGAAATAGTCTCTATCCTGACCACCCTGCGGTTACATGGTCAAATAAGGCTGTCATAATTCTAGAACTGTACAGCTAAGAGGGATGCCCTGTACTACACGTAGATTACGCTTCAACAAATACCAAAATCGTCGAGGTCTCTTCCTGGGCTACGTTCTGGACTTGCCTTTATTAATATGCATCTAGGGTGATCTACCATCCGTCCCAGTTTGCCCGGGACTTCCCCAGGACGTGGGGCTTTTGGTGCTAAAACAGGGAAGTCCCACGCAAAGGGGATGATGTAGTTCCCCTAGCTGCATCTCAAAATCCTTTTATGTCCTCCTGTCACAGACCGGCTGCAATGACCATGGGCTGATGGGGCCCACGCTGACCCACAGCTGCTGACTCACAAGTGAGAAACGACAGCTTACTGTTTAAGGAGCACAGAGAGGTACCTACAAAAGTAAGCAACTGCTTGATTTTTCATTCAAGTGAACTCCAAAGCCTTTCCGAATACAAAGAGAAATGTACACACAATAAGTATAGTGTCTCTCCTATGCTCTCTGCCGATTTCTACCTCCATCTTTTTTTTTTTTTTTTGAAAGATTTTATTTGAGAGAAAGGGAAAGACAGAGAGACACCATGAGCAGGGGGAGAGGGAGAAGCAGGCTCCCCCCTGAGCATGGTCCTGGGATTGGGGACCCAGCCAAAGGCAGGCACTTAGCTGACTGCGTCACCCAGGTGCCCCTACCTCCCTCGTCTTTATATAAGCCAGAGGTCCATCTAAATCAGCAGTGAGAGGAAATGCAGTGTGGAAGCTAAACACTAAAAGCATGAGCTCTGGAATCCGGCTGCTGGAAGACAGTAATGCCACACCACCTCCTTGAGCTGACGTGAGACCCTAAACCACTAGCGCAGAGCCCTGCACATCATAAGCCTGCATCGGACATGAGCAAGTACTTTATTCACAGCGTTGGGGAAGTCGTGTTAGGCTGAGCCTATGATCACAGCTCGGCACTCACCCACTCTGACCACGTTCTCCGCTTCGCTTCTGGGGACGGCACGAATATGCCAGTATCTTGAACATATAGGTGAAGGCACTGCCATCGGGAGGCTTGGTGATGAAGACCCTCTGGCCGCAGAGGAAGACCAGGAAAGCAATGCCGATGCAGACTGCTGGGATGAGGTAGCCGGTCACAAAGCCCACGTTCTGCTGAATGTAGGCAACGCCTCCCAGAGAAATGATTGCTCCCAGATTAATGCTCCAATAAAACCAATTAAAAAACCTTCTTGTGGCTTCTGGACCTCGGTCTTTAACCTAAAACAACAGGGAGGAAACGGACTTTGAAACGTGGTAATCTGCAAGGATGAAAAAAAGCCTATATAATGAAGAGACTATGGTCACTGCCATCATGGCAGACTGTAAGAAACGCAGCACAATCAGCTGGTGCTTACAGATACGCTCAGGATCCCCCACAAAGGAGCACCCTAAACTTCTATCACTACACTTTCTGCGTAGTGTTTTTCTTAAGTGTGCTCACGTCCAAGAAATCCAAGTTTCTCAAAGTAACATCTGACCACCGCCTGCTCTGGAAACACTGGAATGCTCCCTCAAAGTGCCTATTCACAAGGCTCTCAGGCTAGACTTACCGAGTCATCATCTCTGGGGTTGGGGGCCAGGAATTGGCCTTTTAAACATTTTCCAGGCAACCTGTACTCACAGGTAAGTTTTAGAACCACTGCTGGATAGCTCCACGCCTTGATCAATCTGGGGCACAGAGGAAATTCCAGACTGAAACTAACACTAGACGCTGTTTCAGTCCAGGAAGGCTATGAAGGGGATCAGAAGACGTGCTGGTAAGGACAGAGATTCCTGGAGGGCTCAAGCACCACCCATCTCCTGAACTTTGGCAGAAGCGCCAGGTAACACTGCCCACAGGACCACTGCGATGGGCCCCACGGTGCCAGTGGCACTGCACGTGGGGGCAGGCGCCCCACATGCCTTCCCTTCTTCCTGTGACGTCGTCTACACGGACACCACTCTACTCTAGCTGGTGATCTCACACCATTTCTAAAAAAGCTTACCAGCTAAAGGTCGACGCTGGGACGCGTACAAACGCGGTTCTAGGCTTGCTGTCCTAGGAAGCTCCGTGGTCTCCTCCTTACGTTACAACTTATCGAAAGGCTGATTTCTGTCAGAACAGATCTGACATGTTCCACAGAACAATCTCCACCAGCAGAGCACAAAGGTTTTCAATGGGGGCCCAAACAACCAAGTGCCAGATACAAAAAAGCACCTTGTTAGCAGTCATATAACTTGATACAATATCATAACCTCTATTTTTTTTGAAATTACAGGTATAAAACAGTCAAAATTGTATGCTCCTCAAAAGAAAAAAAAAATTTAATTCAAAATGATTAAGTATGGCTACTGTGTTGGCAAGAGACATGCCTGGGCTAATGACATGGTAACCAGCATCACAACCTGAAAATCGGAGTTTTAAATAAACCACAGGTTCTCAGGCGGAACTTCAACTCGCCCCCCGCCTACGTTAGATCTGGATGGAGGTCCTGGACCAAATGCTGGCATGAGGACAGAATGAATGAGTCGTCCTGGGAATCTTTTTTTTTTTTTTTTAAGATTTTTATTTATTTATTTGACAGAGAGAGACACAGCGAGAGAGGGAACAAGCAGGGGGAGCGGCAGAGGGAGAAGCAGCCTTCCCGCCGAGCAGGGAGCCCGATGCGGGGCTCGAACCCAGGACCCTGGGACCATGACCTGAGCCGAAGGCAGACGCCTAACGACTGAGCCACCCAGGCGCCCCGGGAATTTCTCTTATTTCTGAGAGAGCTCTTCATGGGACACAAATTAATGTTACTAAACCAGACACAAATATTCACACTATCCAAAGACAGACCAGAGGAAAGAAAAAATCGTAAGCAGAGAAATGGTTACAGAGAAAATATAAATAAATATATAAGAACCAGTAATGATGGGGGAGGATGGCACTCGGCAAGCCTCAAAAGGAAAAGGGCCGGTAAACAGAACATCTAAATTAATGCAGACAACGTACGTATTGGCTGAAGTACATCAGGCCCTTTTCATCACCTATGACGACACTGCACACATCGTCCTGTGTGAACCTGGCAGTCAACTGCTTGGAACATCCAGGTCAAATTTTCTCTGTTACTTTGGAAATCGAAGCCTCTTACTAAGGCCCTAAATGACTACATAACTGTAATTTTTTTTTACATACCAGTGTTTTTTTTTTCTACAAATGGGAAGCTGGCTCCTATAAACTGCAAATCACATGCTTCTGTGCCCTGAGCTGGCGAGCCTGCAGCCAGTCACATTACATCATCATCCGCGCAGGGGCCTCTGGCCCTCCCCCAATGAGGGTAAACAGCCTCTCATGTGACTGGTCAACAGATACCACTGCAGTCAGCTCAGAAAAGCTAAAAGAGAGTTGTGTACAGTAAGTCAGACAGTTGCTGGTTTAGAAAAATTCCTTCAAATGCACAAGACTGCCACTTTTTTCCTACTAGGAAAATAAATGTATCATTTGCTCTCTACATCTGCAAAGTAAGCTTTTCTTCTTTCAGTTCGCTATTTGAAAGGACAACGTGACCTTTGAAACAGGTGAAGCTCTGGTGAGAATATGAAGGGCCTGGCACGATTTGCGTCAGCGTGGACCTCGGCGTCCTTAGCGGCCCCTCTTCTGTCCTAAGCCAGCGGATGCACCCCAAAGCTGCAGAGCTTGACCCCGCTCATCTCATTTAGAACAACCCCTAAAGGCCCTAGATCAGAGATAAGGGGGGGGTGGGGAGTGACAGAGAAGCATAAAAAGTACCTTAGAAACACAAATAGACTCCCTCAAAACAAGGAGAGCCAGATGAGGAGCTAACTCACCCTGAGGACCAGACTGGCAGGCTTCCCACCCAGACCTGGGTCTCGAAGCCACACCGCCTCCACCAAGCCCGCAGCACTTGCCGCGGAGCGAGCACCCTGGTAGAAGGGTACCAACGTTTCCCTCCTAAGCGCTTTTGTCACTGACGCAGTGCGCATATAAAACAATTCACCATTTTGAGATGTACAACCCCGTAGTTTTGAGCCAGCCCACACTTGAGCAACCACAAGCACTATCCAATTCCACATTTCATCACACCACCAAGAAATCCTGTTCCTTCACAGGCACTTCCCATTCGCTCTTCACTGGCCCCCGGCTACCACTCCTCTTCCAGTCTTTATGGATTTGTCCATTCCGGGCACTTTTGTACAAGAGGAATGAAAGGACGTGCTATCTTCCACGTCGGGATCTACGACCTGGCATGGTGTTTCCAGCCTTCATCCCCACTGTGGCACGTACCGGCGCTCATGGCTGAGGGATGTGCCGGTGCGTGGAGGGACCCCATCGACTTTATCCGTGCATCACTTCGAGGACGTCTCAACTTTGTACTTCAATGTTGTAATCTTATGCGAAAGTTGAAGGAATAGTAAAACATACACTTCTATATACCCTTCACCTAGATCCTTGGTTCTCTTTTTCTGTAGCTATAAATGAAATACGCTTTAGGCTGAATGATTTAAAAGTTGCAACATGATGACATTTCACCCCAGGGGAATCTAAAAACAAAGCCAAGGAGGTCACATGTTGGGGTGAGCACTGGGTGTTACACGCAAGTAATGAATCGTCGAACACGACAACAAAAACTTATGATGTACTATATGTTGGCTAACTGAACATAATGAAAAATTAAAACAAATAAAAATAAAAACAAATATTTGAAGAGATTAGGCTAGTTATCTCGTCGAAGAGAGCATTTTTTAATGTCCAAGTGTTATTATGCGTCAGAAAATTTCCTGTTCTGTCACGCACTCTCGATACCCTCCACAAGACCACGCATTCCTTTATGAAACGGTAATTGCTGGTCCATTACCGACTGGAGCGAACGGACACGTAAGTCCGACTGCCTGGGTCCAAACCCAGCTCCCACTCCCCTGCTGTGGTTCTGGGCAGGTCAAACCTTCTCCCCTGGTGTTTCCGGTAAAACAGACAAGCGCAGTCCGTAAACTGTCCTGAGGCTCAGATGAGGCAGTGTAACAAAGGACAGACATTCATGTGGCTCGTGGCCCACGTGGCCGGTCTTGAAAGGTGCTTCCCTATGCTGCCAATGCTGCGCCTTCACGGCCAGCACCCACGGCCGAAGCCATGAGCCTGGGCCCGGAGACCCACCTCCGCCCCCACTGCACTGTGTCCCACAGTGCCCATCTCAAAGCCACGGTTAGAGTAGCAATCAAGAGATCAGGCCCGGACTACCACCCTGGCTTGACCACTCACAACAAAAAGAAGTCATCTTTTGTACCTCCATCTCCTTTCTGGAAAAGTGGGTATGGGATTCACATGAGGTCCGATGAGTTCAGTGCGTCAAGCACATTTCCTGGCGCAGAGAAGGAAGGATTCGGGACGTGAGGCAGCTATCATTCCCAACGTCATTAGAAGGTGCCACCTTGTTGTGATGGGTCCTTTACTTAAAGCTCTGATTCAAAGGACAGGCTCCTGCATCCTGGCTCAGTCACATACTAGCCGCGTGACCTGGGGCAAATGATCTACCCTCTCAAGCCTTGGTTTCGTCATCTGTAAAATGGGCACAACAGCAGCAGGCGCCGTCATGAAGACGCATGAAGTACTGGGCAAAGGGCCTGGGGCACTGCAAGTCATCAGCAGAATCACATGGTCGTTCAGCACAAAAACCTAGGGGTCGTCTTCCCGCCGCCGTCTCCGAGTCCCCGGGGTCCACCCTAGTCCACACCCCTCTAACCGGGCCAGTGAGACGGACTCCTGGCTGGTATGCCCGTGGTCATCGCTTCCCTCGCTCATCTCCACACCGCGTGTCACCGACTTCCGTGACGGGGCAGGGCCTAAGTATTTTAGGTCCTGGGAGACATGCAGTCTTTGTCACAGCTGCCCGGGTCTGCTACGGCCCCCTGAAAACAGCCGCAGCACGGACTAGCGTGTGGCCAGCAACAGGCAGGGCTGTTCCAACAAAGCTTTATTTACGGAGGCTGAAATGAGAATTTCATAAAGTTTTCCCTCGTCACACAAGACTCTGTGCTGCCTTCCTAGCACTCGGGAACCTAAGAACCAATCTCTCTTAGCCTGTGGGCCCTCCAAAAACAGGAAGCAGCCCAGATGTGGCTGTCAGGCCCCGGCGGCCAGGCACACACCTGCGCTCCAGAAGCCCCTTTTAGAAACGACCATCACATCGTATTACTTCCCGCAGCGCAAACGCGCAAAGGCTTCCTACTTTACTCAAAACGCACCTCGAAGTCCTGTAAAAGCGTCACAGGACCTGGCCCCGGCCTAGCACTCATCTCCCCGTTTCTGTTTCTGAGAGGGACGCGACATATAACCCTGGGGAGCCGCAAGTGTGTCCGATCCGTGTTGCGTGGGAGCACCTCGACACTGCAGCGCGACGGTCACCGAGGCGGCCTCAGCAACAGGAGCGGCGCTCCCTCCCGGGCCCCGGGCCTTCGCACCTGTTGCCGGCGAGTCCCAGAACGCTCTCCCGGCCGCCACTGGCTCGGACAGCCTCCGGCCTGCGCTCCCAGGGCCACCTCGCCCCCACTCCCAAGCGGCCCCTGCCCGAAGGAGCGCGCCCTCCACCTGCGGGGCCCTCTCTCCCCGGCGCCCGCGGCGGGGCCCGC